CCTACCCATTGCTCTCTCTGCTGCTGCAACCCATGCACCATACCTTAAAAGGCATTTTAATATACTGTTTACAGTATGAAGAACCTTATATATGCTTTGAGACCAAAATAACTTACTTAATACTTGTTGTCATACATAAAGATGCAGAAGAACTATTATGCTCTAAGACTTCCCTTCTGAAGATCAGTCAGTATTGTCATTATGTTGTATTACATAGAATGGGCTACTACAAAAAAAGATTAGACTGAATGAACAGTCCCAAAACAAGTGTGCAAAACTCCTGGGAAGGAAGCACAGCAAAGCCAAGGCAAAGCTACCTACAAGGTACCACTTATCGTATGACCATGAGCTGTACCCTGCTTTCCAGTTCTTTAAAAAACAAGAGCAGTGATAATCAGCGTCTGTCTGGAAACCCAGCAGCAGCACAAGCTAAGTTCAAGAAAAAAAAAGAGAGCAGATTTGTTTATTTAGAAGTCTAAGCAATCATAATAAACATATGCTCAAATCATCAGCTCCTGTGTAATTACTCATTTGCAAGCATAGTTATTAGGCAGGTAAACGTACTCTTTTTTGAGGTGGGAGGGAAATGCTGGTCAAATATTTCTCTCTCAGATATTCTGAATGCAATACAGATGACTGAGCTAAGGGCACATATTAAGACTGCAACATTTACAAAATTGAAGTGTTCAGACCTTTCCAACCTTTTTTTAAAACCTTGACCTTGGAAACAAATAATGAGCGTGTTATTTTAATGTGCATTCAAATTTTAACAACGCAGTCACACAGCACTAGTGGAATCCACACTGCGTTTCCACTGTAGATTGCTCATCATTTCATTATGGTTCATTATGTTGATAACTGTCAGAAAGCATTAGAAGCAGGGGCCTTGAGTAATAGCACTGAAATGGTAATTTAAAAACAATATACTTTCTGGAGGAAATACAGCAGTGCACTAAATTCAATTAGAAGAGGCAAATGTAAAGACAACTAAGTGACATTTGCTGTTTTGAAGTCAGGATCTTTCCATTTCTTGATAATCTAAACTGCAGAAAGTCCCTTTAAAGCAGGTGTTTTTCTTTTTCATCCCTCTAAATTTGCCCTCTTTTGCTCCAAGTTTCTCTTGTATAAGCTGCCTTAAATGCAACTGTTTTAGAAATATTTCAGGCCACGTCAAAATATCAATCAATCAGTCACTGCTTGGGTGGTGCAATGGACTAAACTATCGTGGTCATTTACTGAAACAGATTTCAGGCTGGACAGTCAATGCCAGGAATCTCTCTTTTGTAAAGGGCTTCCAATTAAAAATCATTAATAATCTTAATCAAACAGACAATATAAACAATACAAAACCACCCCAAACTCACTCATAATGCAAGTATTGTTGGTTAATAAAGGGTTAGAGAACCCAATTCATTAACATTATTAACTTGGGTGGGAACTGTACCCGCCCACACCACACCGCAATTCACAGGCCATCTACTACCCACATCCTCATGGAAAAGGAGATTCAGGAATGAAGATTATTACCTACATTGGTTGGTTTTCTTCCTCACAAATTTGTGTATTGGTAAGGCAATTTATTCTCCATTAGATTGCTAACCTTCTGTCAAACCCATCTTCTGAGCAAGTACTGAAGAACAATGAAGGCCTGAACAGATGCATTAAGACGACTTTTGCTGTGCTTTGAGAAGGACAAATGACTGTGTTTTATTCAGTTTGTGCTCAAGTGTATCACAGCGTATCAATCTAACACCTCCCTGCTAAGGGCCCAGTTCACCAGCTCACGCTGCTTCAGAACTGGAAGGCTGGATTCCCAGCTTAGTCAGTTGGGAGACACACGTGCAAGAGGAGGGAGCTGCTCTGCTCCTCCATGGTGATGCCCTCCATACATTAAACCAGAAGGAAAAGATACATAAGAAGATATGCACATGTGAGGGCGTCTGTGCCTGCCCTTCCAACACTGCCCACTTCACTGTCCTCTACACTTCGGAACCAGACACATTCTGCTCTTCCTTTGAGGAGATTTAAACCAGACGTATCTTCTCACGTCAGTAGAGCTAAAATAAAAGAGAATACTAAAACCAGAGACGTGGGTATTTGTTTCGCTAGGACAACTGGCTTAAGTGAACATGAAGCACAGTCTTACAGCTCCACAACAGACAGAGAAGACACCAGCTGCAGAAGGAGAAAACATGAAACCTGTGGAGTAACTGTTCTGATGAGCCTAATCTTCTGATCAGAAAATATTATTTACCATGGGAACTGTGAGAAGGAAAGGAAAGGGAAATCTCCAATTCTGCCTCATCCTCTCCCACCACCAGGCTAACGGAAAGTTATAATAGTCTTCCTCCTCCAGCTTAGAAGGCGAGATAAGCAACGAGGCCAGCCAGGTTATTACTAAAGGAAATCAATAGCCAAGGGTCAAAGTTTTACAAAAACACATCCTAAGAAGCCTGAAGTTCTTTATCTTAAAAACTGTTAAGAAATAATAAAGAAAGGATCAATCCACAGTCAATTTTAGGTGTTCCCTCCAAATTACCCAGTGTTACTTTTATTCAGCTGGTCTAATAGTTCTCCAAGTGAACAGAAACCTGATTTTACAGGCCAATGGAGCAGAGTCTATCTTTTTGCTAGAAGAATGGATCTCAGATACTGTTTTATTTCTTCATTAGTGTGCCGTCACACTGAGCGATTACTAAACGTAGGGCTGAATGAGAAGACCCGGGTTAAAGAGAGCATAATGAACAAAGAAGAAGGTGCCTGATTATTATGGCTGTCAGCACAAGGGAATTGGGTTTGTCACCTGGCCTAACCAACTGGTAAGAACTGATTAGAGTGACTCCGTCTGAAAGAGCCTTTGATGTTCATGCTCCCTCTGTCTCCACATCTCGTCAGGGAAGGCTGAGAAAGAGGGCGCGTCTTCCGGAGGGGCCTCCTTCCGCGGAGGCCCTTGGAATGGCTCCTGGCATTCGCCCCAAATGAGCTGGCAGAAGGTGACACGGTGTGGGAAGCAGGGCAGGCCGGTGGCCACCGAGGAGCCTCTGGCGGGAGCTGCTTGTGCAGCGTGGAGATGCACCACGCAGGGCTGCACTCGCGGCCGGAGGGGCCACCAGCGCCGCAACGTTCAAACACAACCACAGCAGGCCTCAGAGGGCACGCTGGAGAGCAAAGCTGCTCCACAAGCCAGCTCAGAAGTAAGCTTTGGATCCTCCCTCACCTCGGACCACGCAAATACAAGCCATTTAGCAAACAGAAAATCCAAACGGGATCTCTTTAGATGCAGGCCTGATATCCCTGGTGTCCTAGACAGCTGATGTGAAGACTGAGAGCAGCACTAGACCCTTGCTCTGTCTTCTTAATTTTTCCTATTTCCAGAGTAAAAGATCACCAAAGATCAGAGACTGTAATTTACCTTCACAGATAGGGATGGGGAAGAGAAATCCCCAGATTGTTCCCAGAAATGCGGACAATATTTGACAAGAAAGAGCTGAACCTGCAGGAGTACATTTTGCACATACAAGCAAACAGACATATTTGCCCACAATTTCCCCATCTGGAAGCGTTTTGCTACATATTAGAGCTCTCTCCTCATGCTTTATTCACTGCACATGCCTATTTAAATTCAAGCATTTAAATACTAATTTGATTTCAATTTGGTCAGTATAAGAAGCTTTCCTTGCTATCATTTTATTTAGTCTTCATCTTCCAAGCAGTAGCTTTGCTGTTGCAAAAAAGCAGACATGATCAAAATGGTCCGGGTTTATTTCTCCTAGACAAGTGGTATAAATTGTATTATCAAAGCATGCTCCTACCCACTCCAGCAAAGTTTGATAAGCTAGACCTCCATTGCCAGTCAATGCTTGGCAAGGGATATAAGGAACAGGAGCTGCTTTCCTACCAAACAGATACACTGGGATGCCCAGACTTGCTTAACCACCACCCAGCACAACCCCACAGCTGAGAAGTGGATCACTGAAGCAGAGCTGGAATGAAGGGGTGTGGGAAAGGAATGAACGCTGGCTTAGTTATGGACATCCTTTGTTTCTGCCTTGTAAGGGAGAAATTAAGATTTAAATAAATGTGAGTCATCTCTCCAAAATGAATTTGGATTATATTAAAATGTTACAAAAGAAATAGATCATCCTTCCCTCACTCACAGACACAAACACACTACATACGTATACAGCTGAACTCCAAAATTTGGAAGCATTTCCACTAGCTTTCATAGAAAGCCACACATGGGCATCCGCTAGTACCTAGCAGCCCTTTTTATTGTTTCAAACTGTTCAGCTCCCATCGAAATGAGTATCAAAGAACTAGGTGATCACGATTTAACGCCAGGACATGTCTAGGTTCCCAGATCTTTGGTGGTGGAAACCATTAATCAAAACACAGGACAAGGAGTTTTTCCAGTAACTCGGTGGGTGTGATCAGCACACGATGCCTCTTGTTCTCCTCAAAGAAAAACACCTGGTAGAGTTAAAGCACAATTCCTTTTGCTGTACCTGGTATATTTATATACCAAGGATAAAAATAAGTAAAACTTTGGGGGTTTGTTTCATCGAGATTTGTTATGACCATCACTTTCAGAGGAATACTTTTACATTCCTAAGGATCACCAGCTGTATTTTGAGCTAATTAAGAGACTTCACAAGATTATAAATATTATATATATTCCCTACGTCACTTAATTATGAGAAAATCTTCCACAGTTTCTACACATATTAATATTTAAAAGGATGAGAGGTGATGTGATGGACAAGTCATCAGATTGGAACTTAGACCTGTATTTTATGTCACTATTAGGAAGTCCGTGGCTAAGAACTAACGTTTTCTCTCCAAGATACATGATCCAAAACCCTTAAGAACTACCAAATGCTACCATGAGAAGCAGGACGCTTTTGAAAGGGAGACACAAATCTCCAGACAATGTTTCATACATTTAGCAAAAGAAAGGCAGGAGAAGAGACAGATAGTGAGAGGGGAAAAGACTAACTTACGGGTGCAGGGCATGGAGGCAGCATCGTTTTCAGCTCGGAAAAAGCCCCGATCGCAGGTGCAGGAGGTAGAGCCTTCCCAGATGGAGTAGCTGTGAGGCGGGCACTTGGCACAAGCAACATCTGTCGAGAGTGCCTTGTAGTATCCGATTTTGCAAGCTAGATGGAGAAACAGGAAGGGAGAGCGTTACTTGCCCAGGCTGCGATCATAAATTGCTGGCTTACTTATTCAAAATCAAGGCAGGAGACATTTCAAAAAGATCAAATGATGTCCTCTTAGCCCCAGGTGAAAAATTAACAATCAACGCACTCTTAATGAGCAATCCTATGCCAAGGGATGCTGAGCTCTAATTCCAACAAGAGCCATTTTAAAAGCTGGCCTCGAGATGTTTTAAAAAATATATATCATACTATCACACTCTTGTACTGACACCGCCAGAGAATCAGCTGCTGCTTTGTGTTTACTGTGGAGTTGCATGTTGCTTAACCCATGTCCACCTGCATTCACACACACGCACTCAGAGCACAACAAAAAGGGGGCAATTGGTGTATTCTGTGACCACTTAAGGAATGGCAGCTGACAGGGAGACACTGCCAATTTTTAAGAGGGAGTGGAATAGGAACCCGCTGTGATTGGCAGTGAGGCCCTCAGTGCAACATGCCCGGAAATGGCAAGTTTCCCTCCTGGCAAAGCAGAATTCACTTGGCTTCTTGTCCCCAAGGGAGGAAATCAGCACCGTTCTCCCCCGCTCGCGGCCAGGGCCCATGAGGGCCTGCGCCCCCGGCAGCAGCAGCAGCAGCAGCTCCCCCGTGCAGCTCGCAGGCCCTCGCTGACATCAGCGGCAGAAACGCCACGCTGACACGGACGGCTGCCTTTACATCACTTGGAAAAAACTCATTAGGATCATTAATAACACATTTTCATACTGGCTAACAGGTATGTCATCCTAGAAACTTCTCCCTTGGCTAGAGATAAAAGTCCACTATCACCACTGGCTTCCAGGTCTATGGGGAACATAGAAAATGCCCACACATTTTTTGAGGACAGATGTTCGTAAAGAGCAGAGGTTACTTTCAATATTTACTGCATGACTCAGTCACATCTTATCGTCTACCACCTACAGCCCTTTCAGGTTCCCCACTTGCAGAGCAGCTCCTGTCACTGCCACTATCCTCCTTCAGGCCCAGCCACTGCTTCTTCTTCATGTTTCCCCCCTTCCTGTACTTATTTACTTTATTTATTTTCTTTTATGAAGCCTTCCAATGGGAAATGGAAAGGGATTTTAGTATTGCCTCCATAAAGTGGCAAATTACTTCAGACTTATTAACCCGGGCCATTTATGGCATTTCCTTAACGAGTCCAACCTTTACGACGTGCCGCGCACCACCAATAAAAGCACTGCGAGACCGAGGCGCTTTCACTCGCTTTGGCTGTCACTGGACCAGGGAATCTTATAAAAACACGCTGCTCAAATGAGCAGGATTTATGCTTCCCGACTTTATGCACATGCCATAATTAGATAAGGTTCCACTTGCAAGGTGCTTTTTGGCTCCGCTTCAAATGGCCCCGGGCTTTCGATTAAAATCGGCAACCACAGCCTTGGCAGGAAGCATCGCCAGGGTCAAACCCGGCCTGCCCACATCAAAGGCAACGAGTCCCGGAGCACAAACCCAAACCCACCAGGAACGGCCCGTCGGGCAGCCAGTGCAGCAAACTAAGTTATTTCACCCCCGTTGCCTTTTTTTTCTTCCAATGAGAATTGTCACAAGGAAACAGAGGAAAAAAAAAAAAAAAAGGGTAAAAAAAACCTTAAATTACTCTCAGTGCTTGGTATGATTTGCAATATCTAGTGAAAGAGTTGTGCTATTGGTACCTATCCTCTGCTAACTGCTTGAACAACAGGAGCAGCCAAGTGGCAGGTTCTGATCTATTACTCCTGGTTTACATTGTCATAAGTCAGGTCAGAAACAGGCCTAAATCAGTTTAGGGATGGAACAGATACCACCAGACAGAAGCTCAGTGTCACAGGTAAAGAAAAGGAACGGAAAAAGAATAGCAATTGAGAGCAAATTTAACCACTCTTCTTCAACAAAGTTCATTCAACTACTTAAATAAAATATGTAATCTCTAACATTTCTCTTTATATGATCATAATAGCTCACAGAAATTATTAAACAGAGCGGTCTTTTGCATCTTTGTATTAAAATATTTAAATAACAATAAGCAACCTTCAACAAAGTTTATTCTGTTGTGACTATAACATTTTACTGAAAATGGTAGAAAAGTGTCACAGGTAACACTTTTGCAACCACTCCTCCTCCCCGCTTGCTCTCCAGACTCCGTGGTTTAAAAGGGATTGAATGAAAAGAGCGGATACTGAAAGGTCAACAGTTTATAATTCAAGGATTTTTTTTCCCCTTTGTTTCATGCAATGTATTTTGTTTTCTGCTATATTAAGCCACGATCATTAATATTTCAAGACCTGAAGAAAGCTCCAAATGCAGTGACTGCTTTTGAGGCACACACAGCCATTTTCCCCCGGCTATACACCAGCTACTGAGCAGTTACTGCTCCTCCTTTCAGCATACCCAGAGATCCACCCCATTTTAGTATTTCACATAAGAACACTTGAGAAGACGCTGCGTTTAACCACCTGCTCATTGCTCCAATGAGCTCCGTGGTCCTGTGACTTAAAAATGTGAATCTTCCCCTCAAAAAGGTGTTCATGCACCTACTGCAGCTCAGGATGAGCTTTTTCTGGGTGTTAGTTTCAGGAGAGAAGCAAGAGGCTGCAGCCCATCCCCTGGAAGTCTCCATCCTTAGTGACAAATCTCCATCCTGCTTCCTTTTGGGGGAGGATTTACTGGGTAAGACAGGGCATGAATGGCATCTTACACGGCTTTCGAAAGATACCATTGTAAAAAGATTAGTTCACATGTGCAATATAAACCTTGAATTGAATTCCTTGGCTTTGCCTTAATTAGTTCTTTCTGTTAAGTCTGAAAAAAGAGAGAGAAGAGAAAAATCTTTTCTCACATTCAGATCTCCCACAAATGCAAGAAGGTTACAACCATCTGCACTATATCTAAGGAAAATTCTTAAACAAAAACATCTTCAGTGTGGAAAAAAAAATCACTTTTTTCCTTAGAACTAACCAGATTCATGTTAAACAGTGATCATCATGAGATAATTAGGCTGGTATCTTTGAATCCTTTTTTTTAAAAAAAACAGGATTAGTATTTAAAAAAAAAACTAATTTATATTTTTGTTAAAGCAAGATGGGATTTGTTAAACAGAGCTGGTCATCACTATATGCTCTTTTTCTTGTAATTTACTAGTGATACATGCGAAAACTGAGAAAAGAAGTGGTCTGAAGAATTCTAGTACTTCGCTCAAATCTGGATATAAGTTTTCTCAAGCTGTTTTATGAATTCCCTTTTCACATTAACCTTAATTCTTTCACAGAATTTTGGGGCTTTCTGAAAAAAATGAAAAAGAAAAAAAAACCATATATGTAGGCTAAAAAGCCTGTTTGCCTGGTCTCTCCAAATGCTGAATTTTCTATTAACAACTTCAGTCAGTAATTTCAGTTTTAAAAACCTCATTTCAGTGGGTAAGTTATTTATTTATTTTTAATCTACTTACACATTTAAAATTGTTCAAAAAGATCTCCCAACCCTTGCTGTCAAATTTCTACTTGTGGAAATGGCCCTGAATCTTCCCGTCACAATTTGGGAAGGTCCCAGCTCACTCTTGACGTGGCTCCCATGGCCAACGCAAACATAAGCGGAAATCGCTTTCAACCCAATGACTCAACCTCTACAGAAGGTGAATATTCAACCCTGGAAAATATATTGGTTTCCAGATTAGTAACGATTGAAGAGAAGGGAATGACTAAGCTGAACTAGGAACACATTTGTTTGCTAAAGTAAATCTAGTTAAGCGTCTATGAACTCCCATTGAAAGGAAATTTGGCAGAGACCTTCCCAAACGGCTGGTTTCAGCAGCAGTCAAGGAGATGACGCGATGCCGAGGGGGCCTGGGGAGAGGTGCCCGGATGAGGTGCCTGGGGAGAGGTCGCCGTAGCCAACGCTGCAGGGAAGGCGACGGACTCGGCGAGTCCTGCCGAGAAAGAGGGAGCCCCGGCGGAAGCAGCGACCGAGGTCAGAGGCAGAGGTAAAAATACATGTTTGTAGCTGGAACTGACAAAACAGCGCACCTGAGAGCTTCTGCTGGCTACGGCAGAAAAAAGCATCACGTCTGGAGCCAAGAAAACTTCTAAATGCCTTGAGATGCGGTTCTGAAGCAAAATCCTCCCCACAAACAACAGGGGGGAACATCTTTTTTATTATAGATGATTGCAGGCAACTCGCACGAAAGAAACGAAAACAACATACTCTTCGTGAGGTGAAGGATAAAGTAAATTTGTTAAAAAAAAAGAGATTTCAAACGCGCCAAGTTTACAAATTTGAGTGAGAAAAATAAGTATTTTAAAAGGCACTCATAACTGGTTACATTTTCTGTAGCTCCTTCCCTTTTGGAAATATTTTAAGCTTGTGCTTTCACTGCATCCGTAGGGATAAAAAGTTAGTTTTATGTTTCCCCTCTAATGTTCTTCTCATTCTTTAAAAAAAAGATGGATTTTCTCCCTCGGATTGTAACAAAACCACATCTGCCACATAAGTAGGCAGCATCTTCTCAGCTCTCTTTTACTGTTATTACCCTTTCTGAACAGATTTTTGTGTGTTAATTATAGAACTCAATTGTTTGGATAGTCTCTTTTTTTGAGCTTTCTGCCCCGCACCATGAACCAAAAAGTTATTGTACAGCTGTTTTCGTTCCAAATGCTCATCAGGGTTTTCTAATTGTCAAGCTGTCCCGGCGACTAGTTCTTTTGACCTAGAAGTCAAAGAAAGGGAGTCGCCCTTGTCCCCCCACCATGAATACGGCAGGGCTCCCCCAGGGCCCCCTCCTGCCCACGAGACAAAGCCTTTCCAGATCATTGCCACTACAAGCGTAATTGGTTTTGGGGTGAAATGAGAAGATTTTAAATAGGATGAATTAATGAGTTTCTTGTAAAATTAAGTCGTTCTCCTGGTCCAATCTAATTACTCACTGTAATGCCCCTGAGGATGATAAATAAAGATCCTTAGAAGCCAGGAGAGCTTCTAAAAAAGAGAAAAGAAAAAAAAAAAAAAGGAAAAAAAGAAAAAGAGGAAAAAAGCTCCTTCTCTGGAGCCTTTCTTAAAGTCAAGTTGTAGAATTTGATGCTATGCACCAAATGCTGTTTCCAAATAAAGTCAGATTCCTTTGATGTTCATATTGTAAGATCTTTGTCTCCTATTGATAATGACTTCACATTTCCTACAAATTCAAATGAGTTCCATATTTTTAACTCCTATCGCTGATGAAAGAACAGCGCTGCTCTGCACAACACACATATTCCTACCACATGAATGACACACGGAAATACAAACACAATATCCCTGGGGAGAAAAACGCTCGACTTGGGCATGATTTTACTTTGTGGCTTGAGAAAGATTTAACCAGAACTTCCAAGTTGCCCGTGGGGTGGCCCTGGACACCCTCCTCTAGCCAGCTGGGCTAGACCTGCCACAGGGCGAGGGTTGCCCAGGTGGAAGCTGCAGAGAAACAAGTGGTTTGGTTGGCTCCAAAATCTCACCAAAATCCAACCTTGTAAACCCAAAGTCTGCATCAGTTGCATTAAACAGACCTTATCTGATGGGATTTTTTCTAATTCTGTAGCCGCAACTCAAACGGCACCCAGTTAGACGGTAACTTTAAGGACGTAAGCAGCACCCGGGCATGCTGCAGCCGAGCAGCACCGCAGAGCCGCCTCACCCAGCACTGCTGACAGGAGGGGATCACCCGAGGAACCCAACCTGCCCGGCAGGATTACTGATTCCACCGAGTTAAACCCACCCTCTCTTTACCTTTATACTACTGGCACAAACAGAGGCTCACAGACTGGGTGGAAGGGATGTCTTGGGGTTATCTCACAAAGCAGAGCCACTCCTTAGGTGCGACATTTGCCTTTCCATTCCTGAGGATTGTCCTCTGACTCACGACCTCACGGGGATTACGGACAGCAGCCGTGACACGGGCCAGCTCCCTCAGACACGGCCCGTCGGGCCCCACAGACCCTGCTCAGAGCCCTTCAACTCGGTCTTCTCTCGCAACACAT